CGAACTATCTAGCCCGTGCCGCGTGTAGCCGCGCGGCACGGGGTTCGCACTAGCCGGCTTTTAAAAATGGCGGAGCCGGCTTTATGCTAATGAAGCCCGGGAAATTCAAATCCCGGGCTTCATTAGCAAGTTCGGTATGCATACATTACCCCGCTAGTTCGAACTAGCGGGGTAGTGTAGACATACCCTCTCTCTCTCTCTCTCCAAGACACCCTTCTTCATTTTCTGTAAGTAGGGTAAAGTTTAGGTAGTTTCGTTAGGCTTTATTGTTTTAAGGGTTGGGTATGGGATCTGAGATCTGGCACTGTTTAAAGATGTTTTGGCTTTTCTTTGTAACTAAGTTCTAGGCTCATGGAGTTTCTCCATGAGTATATTTTGTTACCTTCCTATTTAGTCATTATGCCTGCAACAGGAATATTGTTGTAATAATAAAAGTTCTTTCTTTTCTTTTTATTAACCTGGCAGTGGTTAATTGTGTGCCCTGATTTTTATTTTAGGGGCGAGATTTCCCAAATGATCTCCCCTGATTTCTTTATCAACATTTGGGTGGTGGCAGCGGAAGTTTTATTCCCAAGATCTAGGTTTTTAAGATTTTGGGGGAAGTTTTATACCAAAGCCTGGTAGATAAGGCTTTGGGGTACACTTGCTGGTCCCCATTTCTGCATTTATCATGCCAGAATGGGGAAGGAGCCATGACATGGATCCCACCGCTGCCAGTTTGCTAGTCATTGCTGTGGCCCTGTCTGTGTAAATGCCAACACCCTGCATCCAATTCAAATTGTTACTTACAACAAAATTGAGTACATCAAAGATCACGTCTCCTGTTGGGCTCTGGCGACGTCGTACCCACTTCTAAAGGCCCCCCTAGCCTTGCAGGAGGGAGCACTGGACACAGGACTCACTGATGGCTTGGGCCAACTAATGAGAAACAGGACCAGGGTGCGGGTTATAGGTTTAAAATGAGAGAACTGGAACTGGGACACCAAGCAGAGAACCCCGGGGCTCCTCACCCGTGACAGGTGTTGGTAGTCCTGCCACTTGGTGTTTTGGCGGGACACCAGGGTGAGGAAATGGAGCATGTGGAGCCCGAGCATGTACAGGGGATCCCTGGGCACAGTTCAAAAGCAGACCAGCAGCAGGTCGGGGGGGGGGGGGGACACAGAACAGGGGCCCAAGGAAAAGGGCCAGAAACTTGCAGTGAGAGGGGGCAGGTCTCTTGCAGGGCTCAGTGCAGGAAATGGGTTAACTCTCAACAATAATGTAACTTCTCTTGTGCTTGCATGATGGACCGGGCCAGGTCTGGGCACCACTGAGGGCGTCCGCTCGGGGTGAATTGCTCAAACTCAGGGCTCCTTACAGACCCTGACTAGAGACCTTTCCCAAACAGGCCACAAACCAGTCACACCGAGCGCTTCAGCTGCCAATCCAGCCAGCAGGAAGCCTCATGAGCAAAACCCCTCAGACACCCCAGCTCTCCCTGTGCCACAATCAGCGCCGGGCCTTACACACAGGTGAGGGGTTATAGGACCCAAACTCACCTACCCTGAACGGGTCTTTCCAGTCCCAAAGAACCAGCCACAAATCCCCGGTCAATTTACACTTTGGATCTTACCCACAAGAGCACGCTGGGCCAATCCTTTAGAATCTAAAATCTAAAGATTTATTAATAAAAGAAAGAAAAGCATGAGAGTGAGGTTATTGCGGAGAATACATCACATGCATCGAATCCACAAGTTCTCGATGCAGGCTCTCAGCAGAGATGTTACAAACTGCTGGCTTAAAAGTCTCTGGTGTACATCCTACGTCAGGATGGGCCAACGATTAGTCCCGGCTCTCTGTCCCTTGCTAGGCTGCATGTGGGATCAGGAGCAGAATTGAAGGCAAGATGGAGTCTGCCTCGTGGCATGTTATATCCCTCCCTGGTACCTTCCAAGCTGGAGCAGGTCACATGGCCCAGCGACCTCTCCCTGTGTCCCATGTAAACAGTCATGCTATTGGCTGGTTTGCAGGTCCCAGACACATTCCTCAGGTGTGTACTGGCCTCTCTGAGAGCCTTGCCCCTGGAGCCTAGCTAATTAGCATAGTCACGGACTGAACATTCCTGGCCCATTGCGCTGTCTCAGACAGAGAATCTTCCAGCATCAACACAGAGTCCATAGTTATAACTCCACACACAGATATCACACGAGTACAGGAGTAGAACACATAAAATCAGTAGAACAGAAGCTTTCATTTGATACCTCACATGGCCCCCTTCGTACAGACTTTGGGGCAACCCCCACCCGCTTGGGTGCAGCAGTGACCTGTCTGATCCCCTTAAAATCCAGGAACATGACAGCTTGACTTATGCAGGCACCTGACGCCTCTCCCTACGTTTCAAAGCCAGGACTTTGAGTCATAAACAGAACCTGTGGTGTGGTGGACTCCTGAAGTTACTCGTTTTTTCTTCTCTGAAAGACAGTTGCCTAGTGCTTAAAAATCTTCTTGAAATTCCCTTTCGCTTCTGCCCTCCTGAACATGTTATGGCCAACCCGGCCCCGTCAAAATATCTGCAATCTTCCGTCCGCCGCCTTCCTATTCACTGCATCTCAGGCTACGGCTACGCTGCAGGTATTTGGCAGCGGAGGGTATGCTAATGAAGCACTCATTAGCATTTGTCACGCTGTCGTTTGCATATCTCTGCCGATGCTTTTTGCACAAAAACAAGCGGTGTAGACGGGTCCATTTTGCACAAAAAAAACCCTTTTACGCAAGATCCCTTATGCCAAATACCTGCAGCGTAGACGTAGCCTCAGCATCTCTCCCTCAGCACTTGGCAGGGAACCCAGGCCCGTCTCCACTCATCCACCTTCCAGCTCGGGGGCCATCTTGCCCACAGTTGAGGTCTGCTCCTTCTTAGACCTGACTTCCTTTGCCTGAGCCCTGCCCTGCCTTCCTGGCCTTGCCCTCTCTGGGCTTGCCAGCCCAAACATGTCTCCCTTCTCCCAGGAATGATCGTCCACAGACTTCCCCAGAAAACACCTTCTGCTGCTATTTCCTGCCTCAGTAGTCCCAGCTTGGCTTGTTCCTCCTCAGCTGGGCTTCCTCATTCAGCCAGGGGATTGCTTAGCCACCTGATTCCTTTCCACTCTGGTCTATTTGTTTAATTAACTCTCTTCTCAATCTGCATTAACTCATGGTGTGGGGTGAACACCGTCCCTCCCCCCCCATCAAGAATTGTGGCCAACATCCGGAGAAAAGCATTCCAGTCTGTGTCCTTCTGTCATGCCCCAGCAAAGCAGAAGCCCACTCCAAGGCGTCTCCGTGACCTAATCTATTCTAGTCTCTAAGGTGCCACAGGTCTGCTTGTTACTGTTGTGTCACAAGCATCCTCTTTCATTGGGCAAGGAGTGACTATTGCCCTGGTTTGTGTCAACAATTCACCTGGGTGAACAATTCTCCTGTGTGATTGAGCAATATGGGACTGAATAGAGGAGGGGTTCTACCTCTGGGGTCTTGGCATGGCTGGCTGTGAGCATAGCCCTGTCTGGGTTTCCATGGAGTCCAAAATAGGAGAGAAGGAAGAGAGGAACGTGTGAATGGGATTCCTCTGAAACAGCTTCTCGAAGGTGCTTGGAGCCTCTCGTTGTGGCAGCTGCTGCCAGGCTCCCTTCCCAATAACGGAGCCAAAACATTTGCTCCTGCGACTCAGATGTCTCATGCTTCCTTAAATAGACTGGGGAGAGGGTCTGCGCATGTTGGGCAGGGGTGCTCTGTCCTCCCAGCTGTCAGCTTTTGCTATTTGAAAAGCCCCCATCCAGCGTTTGGCTGCTGCATGGCAGATGTTTGAAGTGCCTTTCGGCTCCTTTTGCAAGAGGCACCATAATCCTCCAACTCAGTTTAGAAAACTCCTTTGGAAATCTGACCTCACCCCCAGCCCCGTGCTCACTACCCCATTGGCGCAGGCCTCGGGACAATGTCACTGAGCTATATAAAGCACAGGAGGCCAGCATATCTCCGTAGTAGGAGGGGAGGAAGCCAGCAGACCGGCTGAGCAGAGCTGAAAGCGTGACGCAAGCGGGTGACTTTCTCAGCATTTTGAATCCACGCAAGGTACGGAGGGGCAGGGAGCAACAGGATGCAAGGCAAGGCAGCTTTTACATGGAGAAATTGAATGTTTTTATTTGAAATGCATTTCTGCTGTGGGGGTGGGGAACTGGAGATCAGTGACAGGTGACACTGACAGTCTGCAGGGGCAGCTAATGTGGCCCAAATATGGTTAGGAACTGAAATGCGAGATAGGGTCTCTTCACCATGTGACCCAGGCACTCTGACCCCACCATTTACTGGGCTGGTTTTCATTTATGGCTGCAGTCCTCC